GTGTTGAGATGATACATGAAACAGTTTGACCACGCTATTTACCGGATGCTTGACAAGTAAAATCCTTCACACTCAAAAAAAAAAAAAAAAAAAAAAAAAAGACAGCTTATCCCCTCCAAATTATCGGGATTCGAACTCTCAGCGGTCCACGCAAAAAGAAAGCTATGCATTCAGCCCCCAACCCAACCCAAAAGCCGCAGTGACCGGTAGAACCCGGAGCAGCAGCAGCAGGAAGGTGAACGCTCCCCCTCTCCTAACCCCTTTCACTTGACCATAAAGTTCAACCCGACTGGCCGGTTAGCATTCCGACCCCCCCCCCCTCTCCAAAAACAAAACAAAAAAAGAACCCACCTAAACACGTTCTGACAGTACCTGGTACTTAAACGGCCATTTCAATACCATAAATGTTTTTCGAGAGTGATTCGTGACTGGAAAACGTTCTTTATCATTTCAACAATGGGAGAACCCCCAAAAAAATCTGCAGCCCATCACAGATCTGGGCGCGGCACTGGACTGACAACAACGCGGCCTGTGAGTAGGGGAGAGGAGGAGGGAGTAGACGACAGAAAAAGAAGGAGGGGGGGGGGGGGCGCCACATTACAGAACTAGGCTAACTAATTTGAGGGGGGAGGGGGGAGGTGAACCTTTCTTGAGCGCGATATGAACATGTTGTCGTTTAAGGGTTACAGGAATGAAGAAGACAACTAGATTTCGCCAGGTACAGATTAGAACAATACTTAGTGAGTAAGTAAGTGTATGGGTATGGGTTTAACTTTAACGCCCTTATCAACACTTTTAATTCAGTTATTTCGGACCCGTGACCTCGGATGGCAACACCCATCTCCGATGCGACCAAAACACATGGGCTGAGAGTCGATCGAGGGCCTTGAAAACTCCACAAAACGACCCGATTTCAAGTAGAACGCCCAGTCTGGTAGAGAAAGAGAGGGTGAGAGAAAGGCCGGAGGCGACAGAGAAAGTACCCTTGCCTTGTTATTAAAGGCCTTTCTTTCACACCTGCAGCCACAAGAGCACTTGAAGTGGCTGGACTCCACTCAGGAACTGAATGAAGGGCGCCAGAGTCCAAAAGTCGACAGTCAGTGCTGTGTCGGTACCTGACAATTGCACCGACAAAGAACAGACCACGTCGGACGATATTTCTGCACGCAGACGTACCCCACCCTGCAATAATGTATACTCTCAATCTCTCTCTCTCTCCCTCCTCCCCTCCCCCCCCCCCCCCCCCCCTCCCCCCCCCTCTCTCTCCCTCTCTCTCTCCCAAACACATATGGACCCCGCAACATATCCCGGCCCCGGTTGACCTCGGTTGGAAAAACATTACCAGCGAGGTCACACCAATCCCTGGAGACCTGAAAAATGTGGAAGTGATGACAAAAAACAAAAAAGAAAGGAAAAAAAAGAAAGAAAGAAAATACAAAGAAAGAAAACCGCAATGGAACAACAATTCTACGCATCAAAACTGGCTCAACGAAGCGGAGACGATAACGATATCACAACAATACACCGATGTAAATAGTTGATCACGAGCACGTGCTGAACTCTGCTCGCGAAACACCACATGAACTCTGTTATATTATAGGTTAGAATAATGGATAGCGTTTGCCCTTAATAGAAAGGAAGGCAGGGAAAAAAAGTCGCAAACCCCCC